ATGTATTCTCATCCCTAATTAAGTATAAGAACATAAGAATCCATTTGACAAGGCTAAATGTTGGCTGAAATTACTAATGTCTTGGCTGAAGTGATTGGAGTTGATGAGCTTGCTGAATTATTTTAAAACAGATTCAAATATATTTTATTAATGGAAGAATGAAAATAATACATAAAAATATAGGTAAACTTTTCATTTCTATTAATTCAGTCGGCCAAAAGATGCCATTTGCATTATTTTCATATTCAACCAATTCAGCCTTGCACATTCAACTTAGCGTTTGGAAAAACTCTGCCTATATCGACATATAGGCAGAAACATCAAGACTCCAAACGATAACTATAAGTCTATATATCCATCACTATTGTTATTGTTCATACAATTTTCAACTTTCAATTTTGTTGGATTACATAATATTTTTCTTGATTTATTATGTCATTGCTTCATCCTCAATGGCAAGTGGTGGCTCTCTAATACTCACCAGACTGCAATTTCATTATTTTTAACAATCACTGTTCTGTAAGAGCCCAGGTGTGTGACCAACCTCATCCCCTTCACGTGAAGAATATGGTGCGCAATGTACTAGAAGGGAGATTTGATGAAGCTTGTGCGGGCATGAAGGCACTATACGACATGGGTTATTCTCCTACTGATGTTATCACAACCCTTTTTCGTATCACAAAGAACTATGATATGGCTGAATACCTAAAATTGGAGTTTTTGAAGGTTTGCACTATGTTATACTTCAATAATTTTCCATTTTCCCCCACTTCTGGTGTTTTGGCAATAGGGTTATTCCCATTTTTTGTCCATTATTTACACTTTGGGGGGATGATAATGGATGATTTGGCACTTTAAGTCCTTTTGACCTCTCAGGTGGCGTTGTCGTCATTTATTTTTTGAACTTATTAGTAACTTTTTTTTAAAAAAAAGATCAGACTGGAGCAGATACCTCAGAAAGACTGAGACAAAACTAGACCAGTCCATTAAGACTTAGACCAGAAGTTACAAGAAATCCATAGTTGTGCATAAAAAATGGAAAAGTAAAATAAGGGATCAGAAGTGAAAAATTTGGACAGTCAGGGGCCATGAGTGAGAACTACCTATTAGTTGTGGGACCAAAAGTTGAAAGTTTTCATTGTTTTCCTCCATCGTAGTATTTTCTTCTTGGCATGATTCATTTCTGTTTTCTAATGGGTGGAATAGGAAATTGGCTTTGCACACATGAGGATTTGTGAAGGAGTGGGTTCATATCTTCAGCTGTGTGGGTTGTTAGCTAAACTTGCTCTGGCTCGGGAGACCGCAAAGGCAGCATGAGAAAGAGAGTCGGCTTATTATTTTTTCGTAGTAGCAACTAGAAGCTTACATTGGTGCAACAGTCATGCATGCTATCTTGTTCTAAGTTGTCTCTCTTGGCATGGAGAACTGTTCCCATTTTGGTTATCATCTTTGTATCGGAATTAGAAAAATGTGGTACAACTTCTCTAGTTCCCTTATCAACATGTGGCATCCTGTGATAAAAATTTCTGAAGAATGCAGCCATGAGTTTCTATATTAATTTTGTGCTCTGTATATTAACATTGAATTTCAGTTTTTTCTAAACTCAAAAAGTATAAATTGTGTTTATTAGGTATTTAGTCAAGGCATGTAAGATAACCTTGGGGCCCAGCCACCCTCTGTGTCAGTGTGATCTATTGGATACTACACTTATGAATCCTTAAATCAACATCAAATGATCTATATTGAGATTTTAAAAGAAAATGTGAAACTAGAGGAATATGATATCAACCTAAAAATAAATAAATGCGTTAATGTTAATGTAAAAGAAAACAATTGAAATTTAGGCATAAATGTGCATTTCTCTAGAACTAGAGATCTTTGGGAGTTTGGATAGTTGCAAAATTACTTGAGCGGATTATTGTCAGACTCATAGTTAACTATAATAGGATATTTTTAGATGCAATAGCAAATTAGTTATCACAAGATATAAATGGTATGGACTAATGGAAGCATGTGAAAAACAATAAGCTCTCAGAATGGTTACGGTAAACTTGCGATCATGGAATCGTAAATTACTCTATAATTAGTAATAAACTCCAATCACAATAGTTGAAATATTGATGCAAATATCAAATAATCCCAACATCAGCTTAAAGTAACCCACTTTAACATTGTAAGGAAATTTTGACATTTGAGCAGAAATTACTTTCTTAAAGGCTTATTATAACCTGTGGAAATCAAATATCATATATGATCACAGAAACTTAGCTACCTTGTATGAACCATTTAGTTCGGATTTCGGAGTTCGGACGAATTGAATATGCCGTAGTGGCGTAGTGTTTAGCGAAATCCTTTGAACTTCGAAGTATGTGTTACGAAAACATTTTATGAACTACTCGTAGTAATTAGTGAACCGACCATCAATTCCAAAAGCATGTCATTTCATGGTTTTGAAAACATTTTTTATCACCAATATGTTTGTCATTATTGAATTGAGCTCCTCATCATTTGTTTCCTCGCAATCTCGAATGCATAGTCATTAGTACGTAGATTTTAACTGTCTCCTTAAAATTAAGAAAAATTAATATCATGAAAACATATTGTGAATATTCAATCCAACAAGATTTTACACAACAATCAGGTGTCTTAAATTGCAAGTTCCACCGAGATTAGAAGGTTTCAATTAAGTTATATTAGCATAGTCAATTATTTTGAACTTATAAGTGTAGTTTTATAGGATAAGTGTTGATATGATTAAAAAAAAAGGATAAGTGTTACGTTGAACATATAATAATAACATTATACGTAATTACGTAGTATAACTAAAAGTGACTAAATCACATTTCTGTCTTTTGTCATCATTTTGATCACATACGTAGTAGATAGTATTAGGTACTAAAATCTACATATTTGGAACTTAAGCAAAAAGTTTTCTTGGATAACGGAATTTGAATTTAAATGTGATAATAGTTTAATACTACTACTTTGTATAAAAATTAAAAAACTACTAGTAGATATTAAGACAAAGTTAAATTGGTTGTATGGAAATAGTTATATTAACGAAATTTACGTTCTAGATGTGTGAAACATGAACTAAATACTTCAATAGGATTGACCATGTTTGTTCCAAGTTGTGTTTAATTTGCTTGTAACAAAAGAACAAAACTATTAAAATCCATCATGAATGAAATGAGTAGGGAAAACGTTCATAATTTATTTATATTAATGAAATTTTATCCACTAATGATCTATATTAGCTATATTCATATTCACACTTCATGGGAGAGTTGCAATTCATTATTATTCAACGGATTTAGTTTTAGTCAGGATGTTTTTACTTGGACTGTAATTTGCTGGTCTGGTCTGGTCTAGTCTGATCTGGTCTGGTCTGGTCTGAACTGGTCTGGTCTGGTCTGGTAAGGTCTGATTTCTTTGTATTTTTATAACTATCCAAGTCTGGTCTGGTCTGGTCTGGTCTGAACTGGTCTGGTCTGGACTGGTCTGGTCTGGTCTGGTCTGGTCTGGGACAAATTACAGTCCAAGTAAAAACATCCTCAGTCTGAACTATTATTTGATGCACGATAACGTACATGATGGGGGCTCTAATTATTCGACCACCGGAAATAGTTGGGGGATAGCCTCTCAGGTTCTCATGAGTATATATTCCATCATTCTATAATTAGTCTATCTCTTTGACCATCTTTTATACATAATTATTGATTTTGCCCATATGTAATCCTTTTGTCGATATTTTCAGAGAGGCGTCAGAAAGTTGGACGGAAGGACCATAATGGTCATGAAACATTACTCAAGTAGATAAAGTGAAAAACAAGTACCAAATGTGAAATTGACGTAAAATTTGTAGGGCCAAAAGTGGAATTAATTTGAGGATACTGGGCTTTTTGAGCCTATTTGGTAACACTGTTGGTTGAATCAGTTGATTCTGCTGAAACTTATGAAGTTCTAACTCATGTAGCTAAATTGACTCATTTTACTGGTTCTGCTGATTTTTGGAAAAAAAAAATTAAAATATATTTTATTAATAAAATAGAGAGAAAAATATGAGTAGTTACAATGATCATCTACAATAACTCCAACTTTACTTATTTTGATTATTATATATTTCAGTGCGTGAAATCAAAAGTTACGTGTTCCGTGAAAAACTTTTCCCCCGTGTCCTTATAATTGTCCCATTTTTTCATTTAGGAGTCCCCCTATTATTGTCGCATACCATATTTAATAACATATGTGTGGCTCTAATTTATTCTTACTTTATTCTCACTTTATCAATTCATTATCAACCACATAATTCTATTTTTCTTAAAAATCAAACCACTCTTTCATCCCAATATTAAGGGTACAGAGGGAGTAACTGATAAGGTTAACAAGCCGAAAAATAATTGGCAAACTGGCTCTAAAATATGAACTATTTTGCCATCTCGTTTATAAAGCATCTTTTTGGGGTAATTTGAGTTTGCACCCCATTTTATTGTCCAAATTGGACTTTGAATCCCGTTTTCAAAAGATAAAAAAGCCCTTCAATCAGAAATATGTTGAAGGCCAACAAAATTGTTAATGGAGGGGCAAATTTGTCTTTTTATATGTGGTTAGGGTGCAAAAATAAAGATTTTTGAATACATGGTGCAAAGTCCAATTTGGACAATAAAATGAGGTGCAAACTCAAATTTCTCCCTTTTTTGAAAGTGATTATAAATCATCTTTAAGTAAACTTAAAATCATCCTCATTAACATACAAATATATAAAAACGACTAAAATAAAGATGCGTGAACTCTTACACAAAATGTGCCTATATAAAAAATTAAATAAATCAAAACCTATGAATATTAGGTTCTAGATTGATAGCTTTACATCATTCGAGTCTTATACCAACAAATTTCATCTTTCCGATCTCAGATTGATAATTCATTTATCATTCAAGTTCTAAATCGATAAAATTCCACACAAAAATAGTAAAGTTGAAAATATAGTCAAGTAATCGAAAAGCCCAAGTTCGGCTAAGCCAGTGAGACGCACGAACATAGAAAGCCCAAATATTCTCTGCTAATTGCTCTAACTGATCGCTAGGGTATCGAAGAGGCCACAGAGAAGAGAGGAGCGGCCAGTCGTCCACAGCGCCAGCGGAGCTTCGACAATGGTTCTCAAGTATGATTCTATCTTTGAGTAGCATATTATAAGAAGCATCTTAAATAAAGTTATTTTCCTCCATCGTTCCATCACAAACATGGAATGCAACTCTCTGCTTCATCTCTACATTTACAAGATATGAAGCTGTTGACTTGTTTAGTGCTAGTTTTACCATTGCTGAGGAGGGTTTCAATTCTAACAGAATTTCTGCTCTAAAATGCCATCTATGACAATGCCTGATTCTCCCACATTGAACAACTTTAGACTTAGCTAAGATTAAGGATCTTATGATACAAAGAAACCCCTATTAGTTTGTGGTCAGTTCTGCTTCTCAAGAGTGAAGACCATAACTTACTAGTTTTGCAAAGACTGAAGTTTACTTGATGTTTAATTAGGCAATATTTGGAACTTGGGAAATGGCCGGAAAGTGTTTTTTATAGATATGATTTTATCTTAGATTTTTTTTTTGTATTTGGTTTTACCATGGAAAATCTGATGTGATTATATTTTTTGAAATTTTGCTTATTTTCATATTCTTAGTCTTCATATATTAGAAATGTATAAGTAAAGTGAGTTGAACAAGTGTTAATTGCAGTGACTTGAATACGTTGAATGATTTAAAAGAAAAATACAGGCAATCTAGGTTAGTAATCGCTGTATCTCAATTAAATGGTATAAAGAAAAAGAAATCCATATTTGTTCTGCTAAGTGGTTCTTTCATCTTAAAATTATGGTTCGAAATTACAAATTTCTTTATTTGTTACATGTCTTCTTGTTTGCACCTTTACACTTGATGCTTATCTAATGAGATGTTTAACAAAGTGAATATTCTTCCTTTACTGCTATATTAGGACTGAGCTTTGCCGCTTTAGTGGTGCCAAGATCTATCCTGGAAAGGGGATCAGATTCGTTCGGTCTGATTCTCAGGTAATAGATTAAAATACTTGTTTCTCATTATTGAAATTTTCAAGGAGACGTTATTAGTTGTTTGGATGGTGCTATGAAATTATCAATCAAGTAATTAACTCTTTTCTGGATGCTTTTGTAGGTTTTTCTTTTTTCCAACTCAAAATGCAAAAGATACTTCCACAACCGTCTGAAGCCAGCAAAACTTACCTGGACAGCAGTGTACCGCAAACAACATAAGAAGGTGATCAAATCTGTCACTGCTATTGGTTCTGTATAGAACAATTAATTAATGTCTGTCCATACCAAGTTCCAGTCTCCTAAGGGTAAAAGATGGCTGAATAGATTTATGCTGAAAGAGCTGAATTTGCTGCAATGGATGAATTTGGTGAATGTGTTGAATTACATCGAACATATTCACTTCTTCAAAGCAAAGTTTACCAAATAACATTAAAAACATAACTTTTGAGACTATCAGTAACTCTCAATTAAGCTGTTCAGCCAAAAAATAGCATCTTCATCACTTCCCTCAATGTCTAGCTATTCAGCCAACACATCCAATTTAGTATTTGGTTGAATAATATCCGGCTGATAAGCAGGAAAGTTTAGCTACCAAAAAATGCAATGAATTGATGGTTTTCATACCTCACAGGATATTGCAGCAGAAGCTGTGAAAAAGAGGCGCCGAGCTGCTAAGAAGCCATATTCAAGGTCTATAGTTGGTGCCACATTGGAAGTCATTCAGAAGAAAAGAGCAGAGAAGCCAGAAGTTCGCGATGCTGCTCGTGAAGCTGCCTTGCGGTATGCATGCCAAACAATATATATTCACTTTTCTGTTTTCCACTCAATGATTTGCCATGGCCAACATGTAGAATTTGCCTATTGTTGTTTCAATTTGTCTCAGTGAAATCAAGGAGAGAATAAAGAAAACAAAGGATGAAAAGAAGGCAAAGAAAGCAGAAGTAATGGCCAAAGTAAAAACTACGAAGGGTAACATGCCCAAAGGTCCCACAAAAGGTCCCAAGCTTGGTGGAGGCGGTGGGAAGAGATAATTTTTGTGTACCCTCAACCTTCATTGTGAAGATAGGGTATTGCCTCAACCTTATTTCCTTGGTTTCTGAACATTGTAGGCAACATGCCTCAACCTTCATTTTCTAATTAATGAGACACCCCATCTTGTGAAATACTGAAATACTACGTAGTACTTGTTATCATGACTAACATGGAGTTCTATTGAAACTGATCTGTTGGAGTTGTAATACGCCTGTTTGGTGAAGATAGGGTATGGGTGGCATTACATATATCAATTTAAAAAATGTTCAAATTGCGTTTTTTTGTGGCATTTGTGCAATGATCTCATTGGAAGCCTCTCTCTTTTGAGTGAAGTCTACATACATTTCACTCTCCTTGAATCCTGCATATGAATTCGTAACTCGTAAACGGACCTGCCTCCCCAAAACAATATTACATGTACAAATTTTCACACAATTTATAAAAGCATTACCAAATAATATACATGTATATTTTATACATTAGTCATGCATTTTAACATTTGTAACATAATTTACAATGTAATGTCCTTTTTTACATCAAATTAATTCAATTATGGAGTCTATCATTGGACAAAAAATAGTGTATTTTTTCCCACGTAGTTACACAATTTATTTTACAATTTCCCTATCATTTAACCCGGATTTCTCCAATTTGAGCCTAACATGAGGTTCAACGGTTCAACCGTTCAACAAGGTCTTGCGAGATCTTCTAGATTTAGAGCCCGTTTGGTACCACGAAAATCGGCTGTTTTGGCTGATTCTGCTGAAATTTATGAAATTCTTGCTGAATTGGCTGTTTTGGCTGATTCTGCTGATTCAAGAAAAAAATATTTTAAAAATATATTTTATTAATAAATTATAGAAAAAATTACATGTAAAAATAGCTAAAATAGTCCTCTACAGTAACTTCAGCCAATACAGTCAGAAAAGTAACTCCAACCTTACTTTTTCTGCTTATTACATAATTCAGCATACAAAAGTAAAAGTTACGTGTTTGGTGAAAAAGCTGGCTGATAAGCCTGATAAGCCGAAAAAAGAGGTCTCCAAACGGGCTCTTAGTGAGGTTCAACAATTGTTCACAAGATCATTCCGACAAGGTCGGCCTGGTCGGGTGATATCATACTAGACTACTAGTAATCTTACAAAGTTCACCCCAATCTTGACTTCTTGAGTAATAAAAACAATGTTTTTGCAGTAATTTTTATTTGATGTTAAAATTGAAAAGTAAATCTTAGCGATTTGGTAAAAATTAAATTGGATGAGTCGGTCAAATATGTTGAAATTAATAGAATTTTGGCTGAAGTAGGAATAGCCAGGTCTTATATTTATATTTATTTTGTTAAAAAAATAAGAAAATTTTAAATGAAAATAATTAAAATGGTTGTTTATAGACTATAGTAACTGCAATCAATTCAGTTAGAAAACAACTTTATTCTTCCTTTTTTTACACAATTTAGAGTGCAAATCAAAAGTTAAGTGTTTAATAAAAAATTGACAGATAAAGCTAAAAATAGGTGTTACTAAATGAGCTCTTAAAAACACAAACTAGTTTGTAAAAACACAAACTCGTTCGGAATTATTTTTTTCTGTTTTCTGCTATCACGATACCTATACGGAGTGTGATTTAATTATTAAGAGCGTGGAAAATAATAAACATAAATTTCAATAACTTCTAATATAAACTTTGGTAAAATTCATGATGTTTGAGCCTTAAATATGTGGTTGTACAACATTTGTTCGAAGACGCTCAATCTGCATTCATTTTGTTGTAATATGGCTAAGACAAAATTTGTTCCAAGACCCACTGTAAAAATAGGAATTGTGAGCAGACACACAAGCCTATTTTAGACAATAAAGGAGAGTCGTGGCCAAACTTCCACCGGTATATAGCTTGCAGTCTTGCACTAGACTTTAAGTAACTCTAAGGGCATTTTTGGTTTGGGCAATCTCACACGAAGGTCAGAATGTGATAATGATTGTTAAATGCCCATATCTGGTTCACGGGGTTGAGAAAAAATCGAGAAAATTACATTCCCAAAGATGTCATATGGAGGGGAATGCTATATCCATTTGTGCCTTAGGTTATCTGGCATTCTCAGGTATGACCTAATTTTCTTCTGAAAATACCATTAATTAATTATATCTTTTCATTTAATTTCTTTTTGATTCTTCCATCTTGGGGACTATATTTTTTCACCATATTTGATCTCCTTATGAATAGACTTTTAGTACAACATCCGTCCCACTAAAAGAAATTCTCGTACACTATTCTCTAGTCAACGTAAATGTTCTTAATGTTTTACTTTATATATCCAACTTTTATCAAATTTGATTTTTGCGACTTTATAAAACTTTTAATGTAGTCTTTGAATACGTAAATTTTACTACGTATTTACTAAAAATAATTTTATTATTGACATGTATTGGTTAATTATATGGTTAGTGAAATATCATAAATTGTTTGACAACCTTTTAAGTGTGACGGATGGAGTATGTTTATTTAATTGTATTCGCATGTCTATTTATAGATTATTTAAGTTTTTGATGAGTGAATTTTAAACTTAATGGCAAAATTGATCATTTTTTCTTTAATTTGAAAGCAAGTTTTATGAATAACTTGAGCATTTTTTAGATTCACTTTTTTGAAGTGATAATAAATACGTACGTAGTAGTATATTTAAATTACTACTTGAACAAAGTTTTTAAATTTGTGTATCGGATCTACAACATTTAACAATTAAACATACTTGACTTATAGATTATTCAATTATTTTTAATTTTATTTATTATTAAGATATTTCTTTTTTTTTTAATTTCATTTACTCTAGATGTTAGTTGTAATAGTATATTGTGTTAAGAGTTTTTTTTTTTAAATGACATTGAAGTAATTCACCAAATCTGCTATACATGATGTCTTTCAACTAAGTAAATTAATTTGACATTCCCTTATGTTTAACCAAACACAAATGAGAATAATTTGAATACATTTTCATCAATCTAACATACCCAACAATCCTACATGATAATCTGCATTCCTTGAACCAAAGGAGTATGTTTGTCTACTCACACTTCATTCCTACATGATGATCTGAATGTTTCTGATCTGATCTGATTTGAATTTTTCTGATCTGATCTGAATAAAATATAAGCAATAAGTAATAAGACTAAGACCAACAGAACAACTTTTTACTCAAATTTGTGGCAACTTTTCTAGTTTTTTTGCTCCTATTTGAGTTCAATTTTTTATAACCAAATGTATGGCGGATTTAGGGCTGAAGCACCATGAGTTTTATGTCCATGTCCATGAAAGTCGGTGATTCCGACCACACATCGAATTGAGTTGTGTTGTGGGTACTCTGTACTGATGTAGGGTCCTGAGAGTGTTACACGGTTGGGGAGATGGGCAAGTAAGTATTCACATTTAAAAAAAAAAAACTTTTTTTTTACTAAAGAAAACTGTTGACCAAGGGTTTGACTTATCATTTCTATTCTCCCGTAGTATTCACATTTTTTGGGCAGAAGGAAGTAGGGGTGTGCACGGGTCGGGTTCGGGCGGGTCGGGTTTACGAACCCTAAACCCGTTCGGGTTTTTTAATTTAAATACTAGGCCCGACCCTTTGATATTTCAAATCGGGTATTTAGGATATTTTTAAGTCGGATATCATCGGATATCGGGTCGGGTTTCGGATATTTCGGTTATATTAAAAAAATTATAATTGGATAATTAAAGTGTTTAAATGCCACTTTGACAAAAATTGTACACACTAGTGCACTAAACTTCCAAATTACACAAATAACTTAACACAAATTGCACAAATAATTACACAAATAATTGAACACAAGTATTAATTTAACATATTCAAAGTACACGCTACAAAATTTAATATATTTCGGATATTTTGGTTAAATCAAAACACATTATAATTGGATATGTAAAATGTTGGAATGTCACTTTAACAAAAATTGTACACACTAGTTCACTACACATTCAATTTACACAAATAATTTAATACAAATTGCACAAATAATTACACAAATAATTGAACACAAGTATTAATTTAAATATTTAAAGTACACACTAACATATATTTCGGATATTCGGGTGGGTCGGGTTGGGATTTCACAAACCCTACCCGCCACCTGGTCTAGGCCCAATACTAATCGGATCTTCAATTTCAGGTTTTTCGGGTCGGATATCCACTTCGGTTCGGATAATATTCAGGAAAAAAATCGAGTTTTTCGGGTCGGATCGGATTTTACTCAGCCCTAGAAGGAAGGTTGTCCACAATAAATATCCTGCTATTTGTACTATCAATTTTTGCACATTTCTGGGCAATTATGGGTCCTTATGGACAAAAATAAATTTTATGACAAAGAAGTAGGCAAAAAGTGAATGAAAAAATAAAAGAGCTGGATTTCGCATATAAACATTTCAGTGAATGAAGTAAAGATTCTAGACTTTCATGTTACAATTATCAAGCGTAGAGTAGCTTTTTACTGATTCCCAACAACTAATTAAAATGGACCCTTCATAGCTACACAAATAAGTTAGCATTGGTAAACCGTTCAAAACAGCCTAATATCTATGCCAAACGCCACCATCGCTGAACCCGACTCAGTCTCTAACAACTGGCATTCCAAGGCTGTCCAGCCGGCCTGAGCCTGGATATGCCTGGGCCCGTTGTGAGTTTGTTCTAAGCTCACCACCGCCACCATACCCGTGGATAGAGTAACGCTTCGTCGAGCTAGACCGCTCGTACTGGTGAGGCCTTTGTTTAGGGGCACTGAAAGACCTCATCTTAGCTTTAGCTGACTTTGTGTAGGACATGTAGTTCGGGTGGTCAGAGTAACCGCTTAGGACGCTTCTTGTAGAATCACTCTTGGAAGGAGTGAAGGGTCCTACCCTCAAACCATTCCCACCACCACCTTTGGATGAGGCAGAGTAGTATTGTGGGCTGTTGTCGGCAGTGCAGAAACAACTTTCGTCGAACTTGTGTGGGCTTACGGATTGGGCCTCGCAGTAAGACGGGCTATGGACGATTTGGTGGGCCGTGGAGTCCTTTGATGTGGTGCTGTAGAGACTGTATTGGTCGGAGACTAAGCTGAGATGAGAGCTGTGGAAGAGGTTTCTTGGTTTGGGGTTTCCCGCCGTGTCCATTTCAAGAATCTTGTCTGTTTTCCAGTCATCGATTGGGCCCGACCTTGAAGACCCTCTGTGGTGTTCGAAGGTCCATGGATCCATCCTATAGTCCAGACGGTTAGATCGCATTCTGTCCTTCTCACCCGTTACTCTCCTCCTCGAATGATTTCTCTGTG